TTGACAACTGTTATTGAGATAAAAGGAAGCAAAATCTGCTTATGTAATAAAATACATCTGCCTCATGTATACATATAATTATAATTCCTAACTACAAACAAGGTTTTGAAAATATTAACATGCTAGTAGAATTGTTTACATTTAGCGTATCTTTTTCGTGAATGTACTATAATTAAGAAAAAAAAACAAGTCTTTTTTTATCAGTATATATAAAATCAAGTTATCACCAGTATAGATTCGTGATTAAGAAGTTACGCGTGTGTGTATACACACACTAGTCTGGGGTTTTGTTTTTTTTCTAGCATGGTTTGATTAAAAGAAAATACCTGAAATTCCAAACAGCAGATGCTTTTTTTGAGAATGATCATCTCAATAATTTTTCAGCTCGCATCTTTGTTGCCTTTAACTTATATTGTGTGTTCCAAGGATCTTTCCATAATAAGAAAAAAAAATAGCTGTTTGTGTGTATTTTGTAAACTATGCTTGCATTTTTAGGACTGGGAAGGAAATGCTAGCAGCAGTCTGTCTTTGCGTAAAAACCTTGATGAAGTTACACAGATTATTATCCAATGGCGTAAACTTGAACTGAAGTAAGATATTCGTTCTGTCAAATATATCATATCGTGTAAAGGGTGTGGGGAGGGTGAGGAGGAGACGGCACTAATATTTATAATGGGTTATTGTATATATCAGATACAGTTTTGGAAAAGTTACTCTATGCTATAACTGGTGCCCTACATATACTGCAAAAAGTTAACTAGAGCCTTTTTTGCAGTATGGTAGTGTCTGGATGTGCAATAATAATTCACATTCCATCATTCAGTACAAGGAGTGCTGGTCCGTGAAGGGACCAGCAGCTCATTGGGTTACTGCTGTTGATGGGTCCCTAGGTGTCCTAGGCAGACCCTAAACAGCAGATTAGGTGGTAACGGTCCTGTGATCACAGCGAGAGCTGATCGCTGTGATTACACAGCCAGTTGTGTGTTACAAATGTGATGCAGAGTATCTCTGAGGAGAATACTGTACTCTACTTAGCAAGACAAAGTATCAAAGTACCTGTACCCTAGTGTAATCGAAATAAAAATGTTTTTTAAAAAGGAAATAAAATATTTTTTTATAAGAAAATATAGTGCCTTTTATTGTATACCCGAACAGTGGCTGCATACGATCCAGGATCCAGTCTGTTTGGCTGACAGTTTTTCTCTTGGCTCCTTCAATTTTTCAGTCACCTTTTGTGGAGCTTGGAGGTGCTGACCCGGCTACCTACAGCTTGAATTTCAGCCAATTAAGCAGGAAATGGACAACATTCTTGTATGTCCAGTGCTGCTGGTTTGCTTTTACATCAAACATATATATATTTTTTCTTACTAGCTGCTGGTCTTTAAGTCTCGACAATGCTGCAAATCGACATTGTAAAAAATCCAACAAGCACTGGTTCTCTATTTACCAGATGATTGAAAAGTACTTGGAATCAGACAAGAAACCAGGTAATTGAATGTGTGAATGTTTACAATATCGGACTAAAGTGGAAGTCGTTTCCCATACTAACTTGTGTGACTTATTTAGATAAAAACAGCGAGGAGTCAACATTACAGTCTATTACAAAGACACTTCAAGCATTCATTGAAAGTTCTACACTGGGAGAATTTCACTCACGTCTTCAGATGCTGTTGGTTTTCCACTGTCATGTGCTGCTTGTGATAGAGGCAGAAAAGAATGGTATGTCTTTTTCTTTAAACAAATGAGTGCAAAAGTGCTTTTTAACAGGACATCACAACTTGGAGGCCACTTGCATTAATTATACTTTGAAAAAGATCTTACTAGAAGAAACCTTTTGAGCTTGAGTGTCAGGCGCTTGTGTTGGTCTCTGACTAAATTGTCCAACCATACCTTGATTTATCTAGGCTCCACACTGGCCTTGGCCTAATGTATTTGTATGGCATATTATGGCCTGTGTTTTGATGGTTTAAAAAAATATTGCAAAGATAAACCAGATAGCAAAGATGTTTAGCAATTGTGAGCTGCCTTATTTACTAAACACTGACATTTATAACTGCTGTTTGGTAATTAGCTGACCTTGGGGACTGAGCACTCACAAATAAATCTGAGGGTTGTTATTGCTAACTACTATATTGTGCTTGTTCCCTGATTGTAAAGTTTGTCATTTTGGCTCCCCTACTTACAAAGAACAAGTATGCAGCCAGTGAAGTAAAAATATTCCTCACATGCATACATTATCTGGGTCAGTGACTAATCAAAGGCCAACTCCATCCAAAATGTATTTTATGCTTTGAGTTAAACACTTATATTTAATCAAATAAAGCAATTGGTGAAAAATACACTTCCACATGCCATTTTTAATAAGGCTAAGATTTTAGGTGATCATTGGGGAACTGGCACAATCGCATTTCTCAGCACATACAACATTAAAACTGGTTGTATTTATTTTCAATCTGATAGAGGGGGATCAGCAGAACATGTTTGTTTGTTTGTAGGATGCACAGATCTCTACAGTACTAAATCGTAGCTTTTCCAGCTACTAGACTAGAGGAGAACTCAAAAGTTAGGAGGCAACTGTCATTTTTAAGGAGTAAACTGGGCTCCTGATATCTGTTTAGCCCGGTTTTAATGTATGACTTGCGTGTGTGTATATATTACAGTATATTAGAGATGCACCGATACCATTTTTCCAGACCAAGTACCAATACTTGTACTCACAGATACAATTACTGATACCTTTTTGTTTAGCGTCATGTGGCAGTTTTTCTAAAACAATACAGACTAATGATTTCAGGATAGTGGTGGAGCACCGGGGCCCAGTCTCAGCTGCAACCCTGGTAGTTTTTGTGAAAATGCCAAGTATAGGGACAGAACTAGTGGGTTATTATACTGTCATCTACAGAAGATTTTGAAAACTGAAAAGGGGACAACCTTGCTAAGGAGCCTCTGTTTAGGTTCTTGTCCTAAAGAGGTAGGATCTAAATATGGTCCTTTCAGTTTTACATAAACACTTATTCAAAACGTTCTGGAAAAGTCCTCTGAAGAAATTGCCATAGAAGGTGACATTTTGGGTTGCTATTACCTTGACAAGGATGTTTTCAGAGCTGGCTTCCTTATTTTTCAATGTTTCTTTCCTTATATTGCACAAGCATACAGTTGTGTTGAGATATATATATTTTTTTACCATCATCATTGCAGGTTTTACCCAAGTAAATAAA